TGTCTTAGGCCCAGTATTCTTCAATATCTTCATAAATGATTTGGACAAGGAGATAGAAGGGGAACTCCTCAAATTTGCAAACAACACTAAGCTGAGGGGGAATAGCCAAACACTTTTGAAGACAGACTCAAGATGTACAGGGGTCTTCAAACTTGTCAGCTTTAAGACTTGTGGATTTCAACTCCCAGAATTCCTCCTCCAGTCATGTCAGCTCAGGAATTCTGGGAGTTGAAGTCTACGAGTCTTAAACGTGCCAAGTTTGAAGACCCTTGATATACAGTAGAAGGATCTTGACAGACTTCAACACTGCGCCGTTCCTAACAAAATGAAATTCAATGGCGAGAAGTGTAAAGCAAGAAAAACCAAATACACAAGTACAGAATAGGTGCTACCTGGCTCAACCATTGAGACTGTGAGAGGGATCTGGGAATTTTAGTGGACAATCGCTTAACTATGACCCAGCAACTGCCCAAAAGGCCAATTAACAGAGGGATAGAATCAAGGTCACACCAAGTGTGACATCTCACAGCCTACAGGTCTGATCCGAAATCCAAAGTCACAAAAACTGTGAGGATTTAGGAAGGGCAGGGGTCAGAGTGTTCTCCCTTTCACCAGGAAGAGAAGGATTCTGCTCCACACTTGGCCACAAAGCCGCCTGCTTCTGTCTCCTCCGCTGAAGCGAGCAGATTTGCTATGAAGATACCGTGCGCTCTTAGTATAATTTGATGTGACTGCAGCCCACTAAGTCTTTTGATTACAGTGGGTGGAAATTGGACAAATAAACACAAAAAGTGAGGTCTGGAAGCAAGAACAGAATGACAAGTCTAACAAAAGAGAAAGAAGGGCAGGTTTTCTTATAGCTACCTCCTTCATGTTCCTTGTAGGAGTTAGAATAATGCAGTATAGAAAACGTTAGCAAATGCACGAATAAAAGTAATTCCACATAGCATCGCAAGGAAAGCCATTTATCTCTCATTTCAAAAGACAAAATTCAAACCACCTAGGTAGGCTAAGCAGCAGCAGTATAGAAAGACCACCATTTGGAGATGAGCTGCTCCTAAAATGAGAACTAAAAAGTGCCCCCTCTTACCAAGATGGGTAGCATACAAATCAAATCATATCATAGTTACAGGTAGTTAGTTTGTTGGTTAGTTTTAGTTAGATAGTTTTAGTCAGAGTTAGTTAGTTAGTTTTGGTGACACTCTCTGAGTTGTCCTATGGAGAGCAGGTGGAAGGCCAGAGACAAATCCAGGCTGGGCCTGGACTCCTTGAAGCCTGCTTGGCCTTAATTGGCCTTTTCACTCAAACTTTATGAAATGTTCTGAAAGGGGAGAATGAGGAGAAGCCACTGGTTTCCTGGCATGAGACCCGGCGGCCTCTGAAACTGCTAAGTGAGGAGGGGAAAGAGCCACCCCCTCCTCCAGATCCTTGCAGCCGCTGCTCTTTCCTCATCCTTTGGTGGTCCTCAAAAGTGAAGGGCAGGTGAAGTAAAGCTGGAGGGAGGCACCCGCACACCACGGCCTGAGTTTACTGAGCTTATTCCCCGGCTGGATTCACACACTCCAAGGATCCAGTGTTTTCCCAAGGCAGGAAACTGCCGAAGCTCCCGCCCTGGCTCATTCCCTGCATGCCACCCGCCCAGAAGCCGCCAGATCCTGCACCGGACCCCAACATATACTCCGCATTCACACCGTATCCTGAACCCAAGCTGACCAAACAGGCCGGATCTGCGCAAGAAGCCGAGCCGCTCAAAATAACCTTCCAGGTTGAAAGTGACCCAGTTCCGCCTCTGGTCGGCAGCCGCAACAAATAGCCCGCCCCGCCCCCAGCCCGGCTCCTCGGAGGCTCCCCAGCCTTGTCTCCGCCGCCGGACCCGGCGCTGCTGCCCGAGGGCGCCGCGGAAGACGCGCTTTCGGGGCCGACTAGCCGCCGGGCGGCCTGCGGAGGCCACGTCAGCCGCCGAGGGCGCCGCGGACCCTCCGCTTCCCTTCCCCGCCCCGCCCCCTTCCAGGCCTTCTGGGGAAGCCGCGGACGGCGCGTCGCAGCGGAGCCAGAGAGAACTGCGCGGGTCCACCGCTGGACTCCCCCCTCCCGCAATGGAGGATGGCCCCGCCCAGCCCCCCCCCCGCCCCAATGGCCGATAGTTCACTCCAGTGCGCACAAACGCGCGCGCGCGCGCACACACACACCCTTTGCCCTGCTCAAGTTTCTGGCTCCCGGAGAGGCGCTTGGAAGCGGGCACAATCACTGCCGGCCCGCTGGGGCTTGGAAGGCAGCCCAGCCAGGCATGGCACACTGGTTGTTTGAAGCCAGGCCTCGGAAGAATCCACTCCAACCCGAGTCACAGGAGATGATTTGTGGAACACAAGCATCTGCATGAAGTCCAGCCTCTATTTAGAAGGGCACCTGCCCAGGTGCTTTCCCTACAGGACCATGCTGGACATCCCCTCCCCCCTCCATGACTCTGCCATGGGACTCAGCTCAACGTCTAGCCTTTGATAATAAGCTGAATAGCTTCCTCACAACTGCCAATTGACTGGACCAGATGTCTTAATGCAGGGAGTTTAAGTCTTAAAGTGGCCAAGTTTGGAGGCCTCTGTCTTAATGGGACGATGACAGGGGTCACCCCTGCACCAAGACAATGGCCAGGTTCTCCCAACAGGTCAACTCTGCCTCGGCACAAGAGGGAGGGAGGGAGCAGAGCCTTGGCACACTGTGTGCAAAGAAGCCAACTTGGCTGGGAGGCTGGACTCTCCTTGGGAAAGGACCACAACTGGCTGGAGTACAAGACAAACAGACCCACAAAAGTTTAACCAGCACCAATTTCTGTTTAAAAAAGAAAAATCGACAGACGAATCAACATTTCAGTCATTCATTGCGTAACCAGAGCACTGACCCTGGACATCCAACTGTCCAGCAGGGAGGGACTGGAGGCAAACCACTCCCCGCTCTGAAGCCTCCAGCCCAGTCCAGTTGCCTCCAACACAATCCCAGAGACCTCAGTGAGGAGAATCTTGGTCCTCCTTGCAAAGGCTGCAAAATGCTCCCTGAAGAGTCCCCCCACACACACACACTCACTCACACACACAGGCTAATGTGAGCAGCAGAGCCACCACCACCAGATAGGCAAATGCTCCCTACCCAGCATCCTTTGGGTCAGCCAGAGAGGAGCTTCTCACAGTGGCCACAGTGGCTGCAAGGGACATGATCCACCACGGCCCATCAGCCAATAGTCAGGGCCTTGCAGCAGGGAGGCCAATCTCACTCAAGCTGTGGCAGGGCAGCCGCAGTGGGGGAAAAGTCAAAATCACTTAATTAGAATTATGTTAATGAAAGCTAAATACAATCACCATGTTCTGTCCAACGGTGATACAAAATATCATCCAGTGGCCATTCTGGAGCATAGGAGAAATTCTGCAGCCTGGATCAGAAATGCACACTTGTGTGATGGTCTCTGATCTCAAGTGACAGTTGGGTGCTGGGGACCCGGAGTGGGTGGAGGCTCCTCAGCCTCACAGAGATTGTGAATCAGAGGCTGCAAATACAAGGCACCTCGCTGGCGGTCAATGGGCACCCTAAATTAGGGGTCTCGGCCACTTTAAGACTTGTGGACTGAGGAATTCTAGGAGTTGAAGCCCACAAGTCTTAAAGTGGCCAAGTTTGGAAGCACCTGCCCTAAATGGCGCCTCTCGGGGCCCAGGTGTGGGGCACCCGCCCCAGATGCTTTCCAGGCTCAATCGCTTTTCTCCCGCAGCAGCCAATTCTCCGGGCTGCTTCGGTGCCAGCCTGAATCCTGCTTTAATCGCACCATTTGTGATTAGCCGATTAGCTCTTGACAAACGACGATAACAAACACAACCGCTCTCTGTGCAGCTTCAGAGAGAGAGAGAATCGCGGGCTTTCACGATAAAACCCGGGAATCCCTTCTTGCTTTCAAGGCAGGAAAAGGGCCAACAAAGCCGCAGCGGCGGACGGGATTTCGACCTAATGAGTTGTTTACATCCCCGCTGAGTCCCAACCACCGCCCCCCCCCCCCCCCCCCCCCCCCCCCCCCCCACTCCGGAGCGCCTCCGCCTCACACCCACAACAGAAATAACACGCCCGCCGACGCTCGCAGTTGTCAACAACACCTCCAGCCGCCTCCGGGCCTTCCGTGGCTCCGGCCTTCCTGCCCCGGGTTTTGGGGACAGAGTTCGCGGAGGAGCGGGAAGCGCAGCGCAGGCCAGCCCCACCGCCCAGCTCTGGCCGCGCTCCCTCGGCATCGCTGCCCCCTTCCAGGCGGGCTCGACTGGGTCTCCCTCCCCCAGCGCCCCTCTCAACGCCGGCCCTGAGCGACAGGCCGACCCGCTGCTCCGCGGAGGAAGGGCGCGCTTGGAGGCGGCGCCGAACCCCGCGGGGCCTCGAGACGCCCGGCCGGCTTCGGGAAAAAGGGGCTCCGCGAAAGTTCCACGCGGCCCCGGGAACAGGGCGGGGAGGCGAGGCCGGAGCGCGGCAAGTTTGACGCGGGGGCGGCGGCGGGAGGCTCTCCCGAAGGTCCCGGCGGCGCCTCTCGAACCTCCCGGGAAGACCCTCGGCCGGACCGGATTGGAAGGTCGCCGCCTCCGGCCGAGCACTGGAGAGCGGCCGGGGCGTCTGGGAAGCTCCGGCTCTTCGGGCCACCTTCGGCCTCCCTCCCCCGGCCTCGCCTTGCCCGGCCGGAGTTGCACACCCCGGCGACTTGTCCCCACTCCCGGGAACTCGCACTCAGCCCGCCCGGCGGCGAGGAGGCCTGGCGCCCGGCCGAAGCTTCCAGCCGCGCAGAGAAACACTCCGGGCCGCGCAACTGGCAGAGGCGGCCGCTGCCCCGCCGCCACCCCCCGACCCGAGCCTGCTCGGGGGCCAGAGAGGCAGCCGCTCCCTTCGCCCGGTGGCCGCCCCCAGCGCGCGGGGCTCCCGTTTGTTCCAAGCCCGCCACCCGCTTCCCGGAGAGAAAGAAGCGCTTAGCAGCGGCAGCAACTCACCCAGCGGGAGGAAATGTTTGGTGTCCATGTCCGCGATCTAACTCATGCCCAGCGGCGCGGCGTGGCGATCGGCGGCGGGAAAGAGTGGAGGCGGCGGCGGGGGGGCCGCTGCGGAGCCCGCCGAGCGGGTCGCCCGCCGAGCCAGAGGCGCAGGGAGGCGGATCCCGGGGCGGCCGGCTGGAAGGGCCCTTCCGCGTCTCTCCGCGTCGCGCTGGCGGATGGGGGGCCGGGGCTCTCCTCCCCCCTCCCGCCGCCGCGGCTCCGGAGCCTCGCTCCCTGCCTCGCCGCCGCCGCCGCCGCCGCCTCCTCCTCGCAGGCCGGAGCGCGTTTCCAAACGGCGCCAGAGGCAGAGCCGAGAGGAGCCCAGCCAGTCCCGCCGGGTGTGCGCAACGCCGCGGCCGAGGGAGTTGGGAAAACTCGCCCAACAATGTAACTAAAGTCCAGGACTTGGGTCGGTGGCTGCGCGCGCCCGCAGCTCGCGGCCCGGGAGCGAGCCAGCGCGCGCCCCCGCCTCGCGCGCCCCCGCGCTCTCTCTCCCGGCCGGGAGCCGCAGCGCAAAGGGGGCCCGGCGAAGGGGGAGCCCGACGGCCGACCGGCCACGGCGACGGGGCGGTGCGCTGAGCCGTTCCCGGGGCGGGGACTCTCGGCGGCTTTCGGGTCCCAGCCGGAGAAGGGGGCGCTCGTGGGGCAGGGAAGCGGCGTGGAAGCCGCCGGGGTCCCGGACCCTGCCCGCCCGCCATCGGCTGGACGAGGGGCGGGGAGGCGGGCGGCGGCGGCGGCGGCGGGTCCCGCGCGGAAGGAAACCGACTTGCCGGACAGCCGGAGCCCTGCGGGCGCTGCGGAGGGCGGAGGGCGAGCGCTGCCCCCTCTCGGGACTGCTCCGGCCAACCGCCCGAGCCACGGGGCGTCGGCGGCTCTTGGGCCGCTCCTGACCTGAAAAGCGGAGCCGGGCTGGGATGGTTGGCTGCCGCCCGGCGCAAACCCCGCGCAGCCCCGGGCCAGGAGGGCGCCAGAGCTGGGCTGACCTTGGCGTCGCCTCCGCAAACACGGCAGGGGCGGGCGGGCGGGCGGGCGCGCACAGCCCCCCCCCCCCCCCCCGCCCGGGCGGGGGCCCCCCCCCCCCCCCCCCCCCGCGGGGGGGGGGGGGGGGGGGGGGGGGGGGCCCCCCCCCCCCCCCCCCCCCCGCAGAGCCGGACGGGCGCCCGACCCCGGCCGGCCATTGGCTGCCCGGCAGGACGGACCGAAGCCCGGAGCCCCGTGTCCCCCCTCCCGCCGCTTATTCCGAGCGGGGAGGGGGGCGCCTCTCCTCCGGCCCTCCAATCCCGGCGAGAGGGCGGGCCCAGCCGCGCGCGCGTTTTTGGGTTCGTGGAGGGGACGCGCGCGGCCGAAGCCCACGGAGGCGCCCAGAGACGGAGCTGGCAAGCCGGGAACGGGGCTCGATCCACAGGCCGCCTGCAGAGAGAGTAGGCGACACATTTATACGGAGATCTGGGAGAGACTTAGGGATCCCCCATCGCGATGGCCGTGAGGGCCGCCCTCCCATCGGACACCCAGGTCAAGTGGGGACAGCCCGGTCAAGGCGGGGGCACCCTTTTCCCATTCGACCAGCCAGGCCTTTATAGCTCATAGCCAGCCGAGATCATTTGGATTGGAGCAAAAACCGCAGCAGAACCTTTGAAGGATGACTTTAAGGATGCAAAAAGGCAGCAGCTTGTGCAATGGCTCGGGCTGCCCCACCCAGAGGCCGGTGCAGCAGTCTAACCGTGCAGCATTGAGGACGTGCATCACTGTCACCAGATATCCTGGTCCGAAAACAACACAACAAGGTGCTTAAGTGAGTATTATTAGGACAGTGACGGAACCTCACTCCAAACCATCGGCCGACCCCTTGGAGTGATTTGTATAGGGGTTAAAGGACACAGGGGAGGCTACCCCATGTTAGAGCCACAAGGAGCCCCCACTGATGAGCCCTAGAATTGCCCACTCACCCAAGGAAAGGCAGAATGCTCATAAAGGGACACCCCCAGCCTTTGTAAGACCGGGACCCTGAATACCCAGGACATCATGGCTGGTGGTCCTGAAAAATACACAGAGATTCACACTCCAATGTCTTCTCCAGAATCCACTGCCTGAACAAGTTGGAGATTAGAACATGGAATAATACGGCTGGAAGAGATCTTGGAAGAACGGTTGCAGGAACTGGGCCTGGCTAGTCTAAGGAAGAGAAGGACCAGGGGAGACAGGAGAGCAGCCTTCCAATATTTGAGGGGCTGCCCCAGAGAGAAAGGGGGTGAAGCTGTTTTCCAAAGCACCCAAAGGCTGACAAGGAAACTGGTCAAGGAGAGATTCAACCTGGAAATAAGGAGGAATTTCCTGACAGGGAGAACAACCCATGGAACAGAAGTTGCCTTTCAGAAGTTGTGGGAGCTTCATCACTGGAGGCTTCCAAGAAGAGACTGGGATGCCATCTGTCAGAAATGGGGTAGGGTCTCCTGCTTGGGTGGGGGGTTTCTCTCTGAGAGCCCTAGGAAGGTGGCCATGGCAAATCACTTCTGGAAAACTTCACCAAGAAAACTGCAGAGGCTGGCCCAGGCAGTTGTCAGAATCAGCAATGACTTGAAGGCACCAATAAACAAATAATGTTGTGAAAGGCTCAAGTGACACATTTTTTTTAAAAAAAGCAGATTTTTTAATCTGAAATGTAAATGATGTGTAATGTAAGCTTTCCTAAGGTTAAAGAATCAGTGTTAAATTTCTGTCCCAATATTTTATACATAGATATCTTGTGGTATTAAGTTCAGTTATTGAAACTGATCCCAGAACAAATGGATGTTGTGCTTGTCCAATATTTGCTAAGGTTTCACTGGAGATGGAATGTTGAAGAAGCAGGATAGGATAGGATTGTTCAAAAAGTTCCAAAACTTTTGTGGACAAGACTCCTGAGAATACCATGGAGAACCAAGGAAACTTACTGATGGATCATCAAACACATCAACGTTTTCCAGTCCAACCCCCAGCTCCAGCAGGGGCCCTATACCATTTCAGTCTCCTCTTAAAAACCTTCACCCACAACTTCTGGAGCCAATCCATGATTAATTGTTCTAACTGTTAGGAAATTTCTCCTTAGTTCTAAGTTGGTTCTCTCTTTGATCAGTTTCCATCCATTGCTTCTTGTTCTGCTTTCAGGTGCTTTGAAGAATAGGTTGATTAGATATTGGAACCATTCTATCATATCACCCCTACTCCTTCTTTTCATCAAACTAGACATCCCAATTCCAGCAACCATTCTTCATGTGTTTTAGCCTCCAGGCCTCTTATCGTATTATGATTGCTCTTCTCTGCACTCTTTCCAGAGCCGCCTCAACATCTTTTTTATATTGTGGTTACCAAAACTGGCTGCAGTATTCCACCTTATAACTGATACTAACTCCTCACATGGTCTTGATTCTATCCCTCTGTTGATGTAGCCTAGGACTTTGGTGGCTGCCACACATTGCTGGCTCATATTTGAGTGATTCTCCACTAGGACTCCAAGATCTCTCTCACAGTTATTGCTATTGATCCAGGGCTCTGGGGAAGGTTTTGATACTGGGAAAGGTGGAAAGAGAGAGAAGGAGAGAGCCAGTAAGGTGGATGGGCTCACTCACAGGGAGGATGAGAGTAGAATTGGGACACCTGAAAGACCAGGCTGAGAACAGATCATCATAGCTATGTGGTTGCTAAGAATCAACAACGACTTGATGACACACAATCATTAAAGGACCAAGCTACTGGATAACTAACTAATTAGACAATAGCTTTCACACTGAGACCAAAGATAATTCTAAAGTTCCTAATTTACTAATTTCAACCAATATCAAAGTTTTTAATATCCTTGATGATATTCTTGAAAGTTTGGAAAATTAAATCCACTTTTCCCAAGAGGTGACAGTAATTTATCTATTGGAACTCTTGAGGGATACCCTGCCATATAAAGTTATTGTATATACTATAAAGTTATTTCAAATATTATGAAAGCATAAAGCCAAGAAGACCTCCAAAATATAAGTCAATATGGCTAAATCTCATTAGCCATATTCATTTTCCCCAGATGAATATGAGATCCTAGGGCATCTGTAAAACAACTTCCTTCTTCATCTGAATCAAGGATAAAGTTCAGAATTACCCACTGAGAAAACTTTCTAGGAATCTCTGAATCAAAAGACACAAGGAAGCAGAACATACAGTAACTTCCAACCCAGTATCATATAATTGTCAACACCAAGTACTTAAATCCTATCAGAATGGAATTGCACCACTCAAACCTGGGAATAGTACGCCTTTGATCTTGGGTAGATTGGCACTTCCCCAATCAAGGGGTATGTGTGTGTGCTATTTGGGGGTCATCCTGTAATTGCAGCTCCTTGTTGAACATGTGTTGACTGTGGCCAAGAAGACCTTTGCATGGGTATGCCAGTTGCCGTCTTCCCCAGATTGGCCCTTCAGATGCCCTGGTCATGGACTACAGTAGCATCTTCCCCTTTGGGCTGCTCTCAAAAAGCCTTATTGAAGTTTCAACTTCAGTAATCCAGAATGTAGTGGTGCAAGAATTTATCTCCTTTGTGAGCTGCACTGGTTGCCAATTTGCTTCTGGGTGTGATTCGAGGGTGCTACTGAGAAAGCCTTATATGGCGGAGGTCCTGCGTACCTGAAGGACCACCAAAGCATCTGCCCAACTGACCTGATCTGGTAGAGTTGGCACTCCCTTGTTCCTTCAATTAAATGGCACCTCTCTTGGGACACGGGAGGGACATCTTCTCCGTAGCAGCACCTGTTCTCTGCCATGAGGCTCCTTCCTATTTTCGAAGGTGCCCCACCCTGCTGGTGTTTTGAAGGGGCCTGAAGACGTGGCTCTTCACTTGGCCTTGGATGGGGGGGAGGAATAATTGAAGCTCCTTTCTTTTCTTTCTTCCCATCTGAGTTTGTTATTCTGCCATTTCTACTTTTTCATTTTCATTGCCTTGTTTTTATTTTTTAAATCCTTTGTAAACTACCCAAAGTTGATGGGAGTTGGAAAGCAGTTGGATTAAGTTAAATTAATTTTTAAAACCCAATGGCATCCAGTTGGTTTTCTTCAATTATGCTATCAACAGACCGGTTATCAGAATGGGATTAGGAACTGGAGTTTTTGGCTGAGGTACAAAATATGTGGACTGCTCCCTTGCGCTGTGCGGCTTCTGCTGGGATCGCTTTCAAAGCCCCCAGGGCTTCTAAAAGAAAAAGGAAGAAACTCTTAAGGCCAGATGGGAAATATAAATGTTTCGCTGCATCCTTAATCCAAGATGATGACGATGATGCACTAAAAATTTTACATGATTTAGGGAATAAGTGAAAAAGCACAGAGAAAAACTGGCAGGCCAGACACTGAAGAAATCATGTTTATATCAACACCTGCCTCAGAAACCTCCAGGTAACCAGGGCAGAA